TAAAACAAGAAAACCGACAATTCTGAAGCAGAAGCGGATGATTAAAACGCACCTATTAAAAATATTGCGCCAAGATGTAGGCAACACGTAATAAGGGTTCAAAATGGCGGAGTTTTCTATCTCCTTTTAAAAGGCACTCAGAAAGCTGCGCAGTGCGACCATTCTCCGTATACTAAAAGAAAATCAAAGTATGTGATGTAATGTAATGCAACATGCTTATAATGAATCTGTCATTCAAACGTCATTTTAAAATTGATGACGAGCTAGAACTACGAATGATACATCAAATGAAACGGTAGAATGTGAGGATCACATATTTGCCGTCATCTTCGACACATGTTCTTTGGAACATCGATAAATCGCTGAGAAAGGGCCTAAAATGAATGAAAATCAAATAGGAATGCTAATTTCATAATACTGGTGCTACATAGTTTCCAAATCCAAAAAAATCAATATTGCGCATGCGCAGAAATAGATTGACGCGATAAGGAAAATTTCATCATTAATGGATTCGTTAGAATGCCAAGAAACGTATTTAAGTATTTTCCGACGTCAAAAAAGGCCTAATAAGGTAGCTACAGTTATTTGCTCATATATCTTGAACAGATAAACATATCTAACTGGGGAAAACAGAATAAGATGCAACATACTTTACTTCGACCCAGTCCTCATACTTCCTCACAGCTATCGTTTCAATCCATAAATCAAATAAGACTGTATGTATATAGATGCGTTATTGACCATGAAAAGGAATATAGTCGGGTAATCTATCCTGGGAGCTCCCCTCACCACTTCACTTTTCACTACATCTGATTAGCTACTTCGACTATAAGGCCACGCCCACTTGAGGAGAGTATATTGCGTCTATGAGGTAACACCAAGAAATAAAACAACCCAGCAGCAGGAACGACACCCTGGATTTAACTTAATTTTATAATAATATATACCACTTGCTGTAGTCGCTGGTTAAGGAATGAGCGGTTTTTAAAAATATTCTTAAATATGGTGGCATATCTTAAGATGGGGGTATAAATTATTAATTTATTGGAAAAAATACCAAAAAAAAAGATAAATTTTGAGGATGTCGATAGATTTAAAATTTGGGTATTTTTGAGTTGAATAAGAAAGATTTTACCTTCTTCTAGTTTAGGTCCATATTTGACACTCTGGTTTTTAAAAATATTCTTAAATATGGTGGCATATCTTGAGTTGGGGGTATAAGTTATTATTTAGTTGAATAAAGTAAATATTTTTTCCTTAGTATCGAGATGTCCAGCGAAGAGAATAGACGTAGAATTGAAGAGTTTGGTGTAAAAGTTAGGGAACTAAATAGAGGCATAAAATTATATGAAGATAAAAGACAAGTTTTAAGAGATTTAACAAATTTAAGTCTTTGGGATAAAGTCTTTGAGAGATATCATCCAAATCATTATCCACTTAGAAGAATCCAACCGACGCAAATATGGCCATCTTAAAGGCTAATTTCATTATACTTACGGCTATATTAAACAACGTGCTGTATACAAACGTGCCGAGTGACGTACAACAGATGGCGATACGTTTTGACAATCAAACAGAATGGCGAAAGATGATTTTCTCAATGGTAAATAATATGAAGCTAAATACATTTTCCATAGCAATTGATGAAGCAAAGAGATACAAATTAAATTTGATTTTTAATGATGCGACTGTAGGAGACCTAAAAAATTGGCAGACTATAGCAACTCCAACTACTTTTTAAAGTGGGAATTTATTATTTAGAATTTGACACACTTTATAAAAGTACTTGGAGCTTCAAAGCCCTTCGGCTGTATTTCAATTACTTTTACAGTAATTAAAGACCTTAAAAAAGCTTGAAGCGAATAGAAGAAAATTAAATAAAATGAAAGAAGAAAATTTCAAATCCATTCTAAACGCATTTATCGAAGGATTTAATAACATATTTTAAAAAATAACTTATCTTATTCTATTATAGCAGCACTTACAATTACCAAATTTAAATTGCGTTTTCCTAACACAATCAAACATATTATCACAAAAAATATTAATAATATACAACCTATTATTACTGTTTGTAAAACAATAACTTCAACCCAAACACCAATTTTTGAAATGGAAATTCAGGAAAAAATAAAGAATACAAAAATTTTACCACCCCATCGACACAAATGTAGGTAATAATGAAGTTGAAATAGAAATGTTTCAGTATTTAAAATAGACAAGCTCTATTTCCTTTAGATTTCGATAAATATCCAACAATAAAGAAGTTGTTTTTAAAATCGCTTCTCGTTTGCTTTTGTAATAATAAATTTGTCAAGAATGCAATGCTTTATTTTTCAAATACTGTACTTGGCAATTGAAACACATTTAAAAATAAAAGTATTCCTTGGTAATTGAAGCAAATTGCAAAAGTTCTTTACCCAGCTCTGACTATATGTAACTTTTTTGAATAAACTTATTACGAGGGCTCTTCTCTTTCCGCTGAGCCTATCTAGTTGGCGATGATATTTTTGCAACAAATTTTTTCTGACATTTTAATCTGGTTGTTTACAAGTTTAGTTAGTGACGGTTATCAAATATACCTGATTGTTAAGAAGTTATATAAGTTTAAAATAATCTTTTCGCCAATAAGTTATGGAAATGAACAAGGAGCATTATTGGGCTGTGATTTTGTGACTTAAACCGTAAAGAATAATTTGAGGAAATCAATCAAGTGATTGGTGACAAGTCGTGTTCGTTCGCTACCGGTAAGCGACGAATGAATCTCAACGTGGTTGACTTTCCTTAAATTACAGTTTTCGAGCTCCTAAGCCAAAAGCGGCAGTACAGAAAAAAATATTTTGGGTCTTCTTCTTTAAATAAACTAGCTTTTCTGGCCCCATTCTTTGCAATTTTCTACTTTTATGTCTACTGTTCCTATAGCCACAACACTTTTACTTATTTGGTCGGCTAGAAAGGCTTGTTCTTTTTGGGATATTTTTTTGATTTTTCCACTTACACGTTTGAAACTCACATTTGCAAGCAGCTATATGAAATCCCTTAGAGGCTTCTTCTTTAAATGACTAATGTTAGTTAAATCGTTTAACTATCCTTTTTGCTTTTTAAATTTCTCTGAATAAGTTTGTAACGTTGATGAAACTTTTTTATTTTGTCCCATATTCGAATTTTAGTCACTATAGTAGTTGAAGCGTTACCCAAAATTTCTTCAATTTTTGGCACAACTTATTTTAGAATCGAACAAACGGAAGGATCCTTTCTAGCACATTTTTGCTTTAAGTCATGTTGAACAAATAATAAGTTTTTTCGTTCCACCCTAATGGGTATACTGCTATGATTCCGAAAAAAAGTAACAATCGTCAGTTTGGGTCTTTAAGAGAGAATCGGCTTCAACAAAAGATGGTCGTCACTTTTGTTGAATTACTGTAGCACTGGATGATAAACGTACTAATTTAAACAGTTTGTTTGCCTCAGATTCTCAAAAAGGTTTGCGAAAACGTCCAAGAGGACCATGTTGCATCAATATAACGCTCGGGCTCATACTGCTGTTCAAACAAATGAGTATTTGACTGTCCAGAACATAAAAATAATTGGTCATTTGCCACATAGTCCATACCTAGCACCTAAAGATTTTTTATTTCCGCGGGTAAAGGATAAATTACGGATGGAGGAGAATACTTTGAAAATTAGAAATAAATGTTTTTTTTTTGTAAATACACTGTGATTTATTTTACTAGGCTCAAAGTAAAGTGAACAGCCCTCGTATTATGATAAATATTTTAGTGTATCTAATTGGTATAAAGTTAACTATTATTACCAAATATTTGTTTTATAAAATCTTTGATTGGAAGTACAAAACATTAATGGTTAATAATTTAGTGAAATCTTGTATGTAACACGTTGCGAAATGCCGGTTTGTGTAAAGTCCAAACTAGTGCCGCTGCGCATGTCACGAATAAGGATCAACAGATGCCTGCCAATGACTAGACTCTGTTGTTATTTATATCAAGCACCTCAATCAGCGATCACTTCGATTAAACTCGTTAAATTCTTTAAAATTTTAGAAACTTCTAGCTGTTGGCTGAGACGAGAATAATCAACTTATTTTCATACATCCTTTCTTAAACCTCAAAAATGTCTGGCTGTACAGTTATAATAATTTTGAAAGTTTCTAGAATCTTAATTAAACGAACACCAAATTGGATAGATCATGTTTCTTCAGTTCTTTTTCGATTAGTACCTATTCAAAATATTTGCCTTTTAATGAATGACAAAATGTTCCAATGGATTAAAACCTGCACGAGAAAAAGAAAACAAAATAAAAAGGAAAATAAATCCTAACTCAAATGTGTCCAAGACGTAAAATAAATAAAAACATTTGGTTTATCCATAACATGAATATATTTACTTATATCTAACGAAAAACAGTATATCAAAATAACAAGGGCGGCCATTAGGACCATGTCTCCTCCCTAAATTATTTTTTTTTACAATCTACGAGCCTTTTAATAAAAAAAATATGCTTAAAAGGGAATAGCTAATAGCAAAGGCCCCCTTGAAAATTAGGCCTGGAGGCCCCCTTGCAAGGTATACGACTGAATTTTACGATTCCATTGCATTCGAAATTGAAATCGAGAATATATATTGCTGAAGAGTCCTAATAAGGACGAAACCGCTCTAAGAATGATGTTCTCCTTAGCTGAAAATATTTTTTCTCTGCTGTTTTTCTCTGGATATAATTCATAGCCTCCTGTTTTATTAGCCAAAAGAGTAGCTTTCCGGGGGAAACGGTAATTCGTATTATTTTGTGACATATGGCTTTGAGATTTTTTTTTTATTTTTCTTTATCCAAATAAAAGTATTTATTGTTCCATTTTTGGTTTATAAAATACTAATAGAAAAATTGCACCAATCTTGTTATTTTCTGAATATTTTGCTACAAATCAATATTTAAAAAACCAAGTTTTTAATATCTTCTACAGTTACCTATATGTGGATTACAGGAACAACTAGCTCGTGAACGAATGGTTTCTGGCAGAATTCAAATTCAGGTGTGGTACCACGATGAGAGAAAAGAACTAGTTGTATCTGTACTAGCTGGAGACGATCTAGCCGCTAGAGATGACAGTTTAGGATTCGGTTCCCTTCCCGAAGCTTATGCCAGATTATGCCTTCTTCCACTAACGTAAGTTAATAGCTATAGTGTAAAAAAAATATATTTTTTAAAAATATATTACAGTGCTGAAGAACATTGCGTACAAACAGAAGTAGCCCCAGCCAGTCAAAACCCCATATGGAATGCAAATTTGAGTTTCCCCAACGTACCGGGCGAAGAACTGATGGAACGCGTATTGGAAATCACTCTATGGGACCTTATTCCGCACAACGAGCATGCTTTTCTCGGAGAATGCTCCGTCGATATTCAAAAAGCATTTTTAGACGATAGAGCTGTTTGGTGTCGATTAGAAGACCCCAGACAAATGAGAGGAAAATCTCCTCACACTTCCCCAAGAGGTTCCGTTGCTGGGACAGGAAAGAGGAACGATTTTGGTAACCAGAGGAGTGTTTCGGATGACGTCGATTCAATTGGTAAAAATATTTATATATTTTTATTTAACCCCATTAGGTGGAATCGCCCATCTTTAAAATGAGTTTTATCCTTAGGAGAATGCGCTAGTCTCCTTCATCCAGACCATGCATGGGGATCCCGTAGAGGATCGTCGCAATCTGAACAACTCGAAGTAGAAGTTTACGAACTTGGAAAGGATTTTTCGAGATCCTTACCGGGTTCCAGACGGTCATCATTTCAATCAGCTCAAGAACAGCAAGAAGCAGAAAAACCTGCTGTTCCACCACCTGCTTCTTACAGTAGGGACAGAAGAAGAAGCAGTTGCACCAGGATGCTGAGAGACCCAGAGGAAATTTTGAAGTCTCTGAAGGCTGTGAAAGGGGAACTGGGACGAACTATGAGTCTCACCGGAGATAAAAAAAATAGACGTAAGCATCGAAGTGGACTAAAATAGGTTTTAATAGTTTTAATTAGTATCATTGGACTTAGATTTGATTATTTATTGTAATGGTATAAATATCTAGTGTTTAAAATATTTTACGACACGCTTTTATTTTGCTTTCGTCATTGTATACCTAGTTGCTTAATTTGTGTAATGTATTAGCATAAAGCTTTCATTATGAATGAAATCATTTTAAAAATGAATTTAGTTTTTCATCAAACTCTGACAGATTTAATCCATTTGCAGACTGGGATCTTAGGGTTTCAAATCTTGAAATCTAAATTATCCTATATTAAATCTGCTTACTGCATGAACAGATTGAAGTAAATATTTGCTAAAAAAATATTTTTTCCAAAGGTTCAAGTGGAGCAGGTCGGGATTCCCGCAAGGAAAGCGTAATCGAGGTTAATGAACCAACCAGAGAGAGCCCACCTTCAAGCCCTGAACGCACGTCCCCGCCCCAATTAGGTCCAGGCCAGATTAAACCCCGAGGCTTTCGCCTCTCGAGTACCAAGCCAGTAGAAATAAAATTAGGTCTACTCATGACTAAAGGACAATTAGAAGTAGAAGTAGTTTGTGCTCGGCATATCCCAGCGAAAGATATCCTTCCAGATACCTACGTAAAATGTTATTTGCGAGATGGTGACCGTTGGCTCCAGAAGAAGAAGACCAGGGTTGTGAAGCACACTTGCGAGCCCCAGTTTAGGCAAACGCTCAAGTACCAAGCTTGCGATGTTTTAGGGAGGAGCTTGGTGGTGATGTTGTGGGAGAGGCAAGGAGGATTCGAGCATAATCAGGGATTGGGAGGAGCCGAAGTAGCTTTAGACTCGATCACTTTAACTCATCTAACGACGGGCTGGTACCCGTTGTTTCCGATTCACTCATTAGGATCTGACTCAAATGATTCGCCTTGACCTGGGATGGATAGTCCGTCGGAAAGTTCTGCAGAGTAATGGGTTTATGTTTAGTTCCAGATTCTTCCTGTTTGATTTTAAATATTTCTCAGTTTGTAATATCTTTTACGACGTTTTACTCGTTGTTCCTGAAACTCCTCACATATAGTAAAGGTCTGTGACAGTTTGAAGAACTAAAGAACCAAATAAAGTTGCAGATATTACTATTCTAAACAGTAATAATTTCTAGTATTCTCAATCTGTCGCAGGACTAAGCGAAATATCATTAAAATTATCGTTTAAGCATTAGTGGTTTTGGGTAGTTAATTATGTAATATAGAAATTTATTGTAATGCTAGTAAAGTAAAGAGTTTTAAATTGAATGCTGCTTTGATAGTTTAGAGCAGAACATTCAAGATTATGTAAACTGATTTTTTCAATTTACTGTACACCGGTTTACAAAATCTATATCTTTAAAAATAAAAATATCTGATCCTTGACCAACTTTTATCACAATTTAACATTTTTAGGTTTTGAAGGAATTAATCGTGGACGAACATGGTCATTAGAAAATTATCCGTTTGACTATGAAACTTAGTTTCAAATTTGTTAATAGAAGAACCATATCAATAGACATCATGGCAATATGGAAGTAGGGAGAAAATAGTAACTATTTAACCTGAAAAATATATCTATATATTTGTAAGAAAATATTTATATTGTACTATAAAATTTTTGATGTAAATAATATAGGTATGCCCATAAAAGGTGTTGAAGTATAACTTCCAAACTAAGTCCGATTAAGACGGTTAACGGTACCAAATTACATCGTCTCTATACCAGACATACAATATTCCTGGTTATTCAAGGATTAACCATAGGCGTCGTTTACCAATGGAAAGTGCCCACTTAGATTTTGACTGCAATGGTAAAATAATCGAAAAAAAATTAATTTATTATCAGAATACCTAAAATACCTTAAAGGTGGAAACGCATTAAGCAATTGCGGTCCCGTCGCATCGCGGGCTGTGTTAGTCACGAGCTCGCACAGTGAATTTATTTTCCATATTTTATAATGCATGTATTTTCAGTTGGTGTTCTCGTTTTCATCTCTTTCTCCTTCTATCTTTTCACACGATGCGACGATACCGCGATGGCTTTATGGGTTCTCACTTTAAGGGTGTAAAGATACAACATATTACTTATTTTTAATATATCGTAACGTTTCTTTTTTAACATAATTTATTTACACTCAATACTACATTAATTTATATCTCAAATATTCGAATAAATATTCTTGTTAACGGGAAAGATGAAGGCCGTAAAAATCCCAAATAAAGCTGAGATGGACTTAAGGTATCAAAAATGACTCGCATGACAATATTCCTTAATAAATTCAAATGTTTTCCAATTATTTCTGTTTTTTGCCATTCCAGAATTCTCCTTGCTTCTTCAGACGTTCTGTTACTGTAGTATTCCATGTTTTTCTTGGGCTTCTTCTGTTTCGTCTGTACAGTGATCTTGTCAATCATACTCTTTTTGTCTATCTCTCTTCTTCCATACGTCTCTATTCCAGTATTACGAGTTTCATAGGATTTTCTGTAAGTGGTTTTAAACGACGTGCGGAATCTTTGTAATTTTTTTTTTGAGTTATTTCATTACCTGCCACAATCTGCTCTATTTTTAATTTTTTAAGGCTCTCCTTCTTTTGTAAAGCCAATGTTGGAATGTGCAATAGAAACAATGAAACTAAAACTGTTGTGTCATCCTTAACTGCATTATTTATTCTAGTAATTCTAACAATTTCAAACAGATATAGGAAATTTTGGTATAACCGTCTTCTTTCTCTTCTGTCTAATCTACCAATCCACGAGTCTTCAAAGTAGTTTATTAATTCTACTAAGTCCTCGTTTTCTGTATAGAATTCGCTTTCCAATAGTGTATCAAATTTAGAAATGATAAACGTGTTTCTTATCTGTGTCGAGCACCACTGGCAAAGTTTATTTAACTGATCTGCTAGTAGGTGTACCTTATAACACCAAAAATGTTTGGCGAATTTAGTAAAATTATACCGAGAAATAAAAAAAATTATAGCTATTAATATTTTTTTAATTTTCAACTTGCCCACCTTGTTTTTCAGAAACGAGTAATATTTTACTTAATCGTTTCGTTTGATCGTCTTAGTTTTATTCAAAGAATCTTTAGTTTTTCTATTTCCCATTCATAATGGGTTACCCTTTATAAATCTAACTTTGATTTAGATTTTTATTTTATTTTTTCGGCGATGAATTGTCGAAGCGATGAAATGTCGTGGCGATGAAATGTCGGCTCTGAATTATCGCACGATAAATTGATGGAAGACCTAAATTTAGCTCTTAGTGGTCTTGTTTTGTTTAAGCTTTCTGTCGTACAATAATTATCGAGTATCATCTATTTAGGTCTTATCCTTTTTTCTTCAATATTTTTTAATATTGACTGGAATTTCCCATAAATCGTTTTCAGCTGTTTTCTCTAGCTATACTGATAATCTCTCGCCTTCATCATTTTATAATAAATGTTGTGCACTTCTCAAGCGATCATTATTATTGCCGATATACTTTTACCGATATAGTTTTAGAAAAATGTAGCTATCTACACAGTTTCATGGCCTTCTGGTTAATACCTATATGATCACGCGAATAATTTTTTGTGAGCAAAAGCTTTATTTTTCATTTTATTTCTTCTCGTTTAAAAACTAAAGGTATTTGCAGGAATATGCAGGATGTAATTCAAATATATCGACATATTAAATAAACTTCTTATATGACTTTTTATTGTTACGGTACTTCCAATTAGCAATAGTAAAATAAGGTAGGTAATGGTTTAGTGAAAGTGAAGCGCTATATATTTACAATTTTTTCAGATACTCTTACTAAACCCAGTATGAAACAAGATCTATTAAAACTTGTAGAAAAATACATAGTGTGTTCAAGAATGGATTTATTTCGCCTAATTAATCATTGGGACCCGAAGAGAACCGTCTACAGATGAGAAATATTTATTTTAATTTTAAGAAATATCAAAGTAAGGTGTCAAATACATTATTTATTTTGCGCGTTTTTATGGTTTAAAATAAGAATTAGTCCTTTTTGACAGCCTAACAACCGTCATGTTAGAGGGTGTCTCTTTGAAATAAAAGAAGTTGATGGTACTTCCGCTTAAATTGGAAGTACAGTAATTCCTTACTTTATTCCAGATTTCATTCTGTATAGTCCATAACTTATGTATGAGTCTCTTCACTATTGGCAATAATTTTAAGATAAGGTGATTATAATTAATAATCTTTTTTGAGGTAATTATTCTTTCTATGAACTTAATTATCAATACGTTTTAATTTTCAAATTTAAATACGTATATGTTTCTGGTAAAGTACCGGAAAAGTTCCTGTAAAGTTTACAGATTTTCCTGTTTCAATAAATATGTCGATATATTTCAATTGAACCCTTTATTTGGCAACTGGTCGTTAACATTACACCTTATTATTAAAAGAAAAGTCAGTCATTAATCACAGATTTTTAATGATGTTTAAGGTAACTGCACCAATAATTGACACTATTTGTATTAAATAGTAAATATTTTCACCATTATTATATTTTTTAAGCATATAATAGATTTTTCCTTATAGCTTATAGTTTTTTGAATTTATTAAGTTTTCCTGAAATAAATATTAAAGGAAAGTCCTTTAAAGTACCATTAACGCGTGATTTCTTTCATGTAAGTACCATCAGTAATTGACGGACTAATTATTGACAGGAAACATTTTTCTATTATACTTTTAATTTGAATGGGTACACTAAATAAAAACTGAACTTTATCCAAGAAAATCTATGGCTGCTTTTAGGTTCCAAATATTTGAAAAAATGTTTAAAATACATATTTTATTCTATTGCCAACATTGTGCAGTTCCGGTTTGGATAACTTTTCTATGATATCCTCAATCTTAATAGTTGAAATATCACTATCAACTAGTTTGAAGTTATTCGTTTTGTTAGTTGATTTAAGAGATATAATTTCAATATTGTTTTGGAAATATTTCTTCTGAACCACACAGATACCTATAAAAATTAGTTTTTCTCTTTCCTCCTAAGAATGTTGCCAAAATAATATCTACTACTTGGATATGTTCTTATTTGATTAGTATTTCATTATCTTGTTCTTTCTAAATTAATACTGACATCATCAAGAAGACTGTCTTCACTTTCTGCCCATTGCTTGTTTTGAAATGAACTATCAGAACTTTTCCTCTTTGTTGTCTTGGCTTTGTATTGCATTCTTATATAATTTGATCTCTTTTTCGTTTTTCTCTCCTGTTCGTTTTTACTATTCTTCACAAAAACCATTGCATTATCGCAATTGTTGTTCAGTCACTTTTTCACAGGATGGTCTCAACTCTCCCGTTTAACTTTGCATGCCTTTTCAAAAATGACCTGCTCGAATCAGTAAAAGGCTTTGGTTATTTACTTTATTTAATGATAAACTGGACTCTGTCTAGTAAATGCTCTTTACCAACTATATTGAGAAATTTTGCTGGATATAGTATCCGTTATTCGAAAAGAGCTTCTTACTTGGTCCCATTCGGCAATGAACAGATCAACAGGTACCTTTCCTTAAATTGTTCTTGGAACAAAGTAAGTTTTAGCAGCTGTAGCTACCGGCATCCCTCTTGCGCTAGCAGCGAGGGCTTCATCCAACTGAGACTGATTGGAACCAAAAGGTTGATTGCAAATTTTTTTAGACAGTACAACACTGTATTCTAGTATTTGCTTGTGAGCTACTGAGCGAGATGGTTTTCCAATAACTGGAACATACTGGTTTTGCTTGTTACAGTTATTGAAAATTTACCTAATAAAACTGGTTTTAGAATTTACAAGTATAAAGACCAGTAAAAACCCATCAGTGTTGTTTAATGCATTCTTAGAAATCAGCAATAGTTCAAATAAATTTAACATGAAGTAGAGGTATTCAAAATGTCTTAATATAATTACTGTATCACTTCACGTGGTTTTTTCACCATTTTTGACCATACGTAGGCTACACGGTTGTCAAATATTTTAATAATACCGATGTTTCAGAGAAATTTATCATAATGTTTAAATTACTGGAACACCGTCAATTATTGGTGTATTTACCTTATAATAATGTAAATGGGCGGCTACTAATTTCGACCTCTATCGGTCATCATCAGGCCTGAAAATGTGGGTTACAAAATACAAAGTTATAAGATTATAAATAAAACAAAAAAAAACTTACTTGGAAACTAGCAAATAAGAGAAGAAATGGATTGAAAAAATAAAAGATGACCTCAACCAAATTTAAATAAACACCTAAAGCC